TTGACTTCAAGTGACAAGACTCTTGCATTTCAAAGGTAACCAAGTATGTCTTTGGAAATAATCATGTTACAACAGAAAACCTTAAAATGTTCACCTTTTGCTTGGGCTTGATAGTGAGGAAAGTATTTTAAATTCTCAAGTTTAACTGGGTGCAATCTGGAAAAACTATAGGAGAAAATTAAGTATTTTCCTCCCTTTCAACACCAGAGTATGATTAGGTAAGGGATCCTTTTTCTGAATCTCTGCTCAAACAGAGAATTTGACTCTAAGAGCTTTATAGGTACAATCTGATTGTATGCCAGAGATGAGACTTAATGCTCTGTCCCTAGAAAAGTTATGGATTTCTACAAAGTATCCTGTCATTCACTTGAAATCAGTAACATTTCACTGCAGTTTCAACTTTCTACATGTGTAAGCAAGCTTTTTCTTATTTAACAAGCATGAACACCAAGGGCAGAAATTGTCTAATTTCAAAATAAAATGAATCTATGTGAGCTTATCTTAAATCAACCCACAACTGAGTATTTGTAAGGGGGTGGGGAGGAAAAAAGCAAACATTTTACAGTAAAGAGGTATATTTCAACATTCCTTTTACCTCAAAAACAGCATTTTAATGCATATACACAGACCTATAAAGACATTAAAAAGGCCAGGTGTGGTGGCTCAAACAAATAATCCTAACAATTTGGGAGGCTGAGGTGGGCAGATCACTTGAGGTCAGGAGTTCAAAACCAGCCTGGACAATACAGTGAAACCCTGTCTCTAACAAAAACACAAAAAAATTAGCTGGGCATGGTGGCAGGCGCCTATAATCCCAGCTACTTGCGAGGCTAAGGCAGGAGAATTGCTTGAATCTGGGAGATGGAGGTTGCAGTGAGCTGAGATCACGCCACTGCACTCCAGCCTGGGCAACAGAGCAAGACTCAATCTCAACAACAACAACAAAAAAGTAAAAATAAACCCAGCTGTATAATTTTCTAAATGCTAAGCCCACATTTGAGCCTGATATATCACACACAAAGAAAGTTTGTGTTTTCCCCCCAAAATCTTGTATAAAAAGGTGTCTTAGGCTATATTTTTACTCATATTTTTTCAGCCTACTTTTAGAAAAACCAAGTCACATTTTTGCTTAAGCCAATTATTTCACAGAAATGTATTAGTTACTTGCCTTTTAAATTTGGCCAGGTGTGGTGGCTCACGCCTATAATCCCAGCACTTAGGGAGGCTGAGGCAGGTGAATCACAAGGTTGGGAGTTTGAGACCACCGTGGCCAATATGGTGAAACTCCATCTCTAATAAAAATACAAAAAAATTAACTAGGTGTGGTGGTGCATGCCTGTAATTCCAGCTACTCAGGAGGCTCAGGCAGGAAAATTGCTTAAACCCGGGAGGCAGAGGTAGCAGTGAGCCAAAATTGTGCCACTGCACTCCAGCCCCAGCGACAGAGCAAGACTCTGTGTCAAAAAAAAAAAAAGTCATTTTTCTTTTAAAGAAAAAATGTTTTTGAACATACCATACCTTATTACCAATGCTAATAACATACCTTATTAGCATTACATACAGTAGAAATTTGTGATAGAGAGTTTTGTTTAGGTCTTAGATTAAAAAACAAACAGAAAAGGAAAATAAAGTTTCTTCTACTTATACTACTAACTGCATTATAGTTATCTATTATGAAGAGGGAAAAACCATACAAAAAAGAGTAGGCTAACAAACTGGTCAAAATAAACAGGTCCACAAAGAAAAACCACCGTTTACTAAAAAACACAAGGAGTATTTTATTGCCTTATAATATCTGCAACTTTCTGATTACACTAATTACTCTGAGCTGTAGATTTATACAGACCTGACAGAAAATTAGTTTGAGGTTAATTTTTAATAATAAAAATTATTCCATTTGGGAGTTGTAGCAAAAAAAGAACATAAGGGGATTGAGCTCCTCAACTGGAATGCAAATTTACATGAAATACAGAAGACACAGACACTTCTGAATCCAGACAAGAATTTCGTAATCCTTGGTTTCTTAAGAGTAAAATGGTCAGGCGTGGTGGCTCACGCCTATAATCCCAGCACTTTGGGAAGCCAAGGTGGGTGGATCACGAGGTCAAGAGATCGAGACCATCCTGGTCAACAAGGTGAAACCCCGTCTCTACTAAAAATACAAAAATTAGCAGGGCATGGTGGTGCACGCCTGTAGTCCCAGCTACTCAGGAGGCTGAGGCAGGAGAATTGCTTGAACCCAGGATGCGGAGGTTGCGGTGAGCCGAGATTGTGCCATTGCACTCCAGTCTGGGTAACAACAGCAAAACCCCGCCCCCGCCCCCCCCAAAAAAAGAGTAAAATTAATTGCTAGGGAAGAAAAAGAAGAGATTTTTTAAAACTCTTAAAGAAGGTATTTTTAAAAACTTGAGACATGTTAATCAACCACGAATCTGTGAACCTTATTCTGATCTGATTCAACACACAAAAGGTAAAAGAAAATATTTACGACTTTTTGGTGAAGGAATTACTGCTAATTTTTAAAGATGTGAAAATGGTATGATAGCTGTGTTTCTAAGAAAATAACCCTTGGCTTTTAGACATATGTGATGAAATATTTACAGATCAGGTAACATAATGTCTGACTTCTGCGTCAAAATAATAAGGAAGAGGAAAGTGGGTGAGGATACACATGAAATAAGACTGGCCATGAGTTTGTAATTGTTGAAACTGGGTCATGAGGACTCATTATACCTGTCTACGTCTATATGTTTGAAATTTTCCATAACACGGTTTTTTTTTTAATGCACAAAATTAGTTAAACAAAAAAAAAAAGTATCCACAAAAGGCCAGGCGTAGAGGCTCACACTGGCAATCCTAGCACTTTGGGAGGCCAAGGCGGGCAGATCACTTGAGGCCAGGAGTTTGAGACCATCCTGGCCAACACAGCAAAACTCCATCTCTACAGAAAATACCAAAATCAGCCAGGTGTGGTGGCAGGTACCTGTAGTACTAGCTACTCGGGAGGCTGAGACAGGAGAACTGCTTGAGCCCAGGAGACAGAAGTTGCTGTGAGCCAAGGTCACGCTACTGCATGCCAACCTGGGCAACAGAGTGAGACTCCATCTCAAAGACAAATAAACAAACAAAAAATCCACAAATAAAATACTATCAAATATAACCAAAGGACTAGCATCCAAAGTAAAAATCTATAAACCAGTAACAAAACACCAACAACAAAAGAACAGACGACCCAATTTTTTTTAAAATGGTCATAAATTTAAACAAGGGCTTCACAAAAAAGCAATCCAGATAGCTAATACCTCAATGAGATGGTATCACACACCCATCAGATTTAAAAAAAACATTTAAAATGTCTGGTAATATCAGATGCTGGCAAAGACTTAAAGCAAATGTAAACTCACACATTGCTGATAAGAGTGCAAACTGGTACAACACCATTGAAAAATCATTTTTGCATTATCTAGTAATGTCAATGATGTACATATCCTATGACCCAGCAACTGCACTCTTAGGTTTATATCCTAGAGAAATGAGTGCACAAAGACACCAGGGGACATGCACAAGAATGCTTATAGCAATACTCTTCACAGAAGCTCAAACTAAAAACAATCCAATGGCCAGCCAAAGTAGAACAGATAAATAAGTCTGGTATAGTCACAAAATGTAATTAATAGCAACAAAGTAAATGGACTGCAGTGACATACACAATGTGGATGGATTTCAAGCATGATGTTGTGAGAAAAAGAAAATAAATAATATAGCCAGTATAACACTAATTATATCATGCTCAAAGCCAGACCAAACTATAGGGTATGAAGATATACATATAAGTATTAAAGCTATAAGAAATAAGAAGAAAATGATTACCGTGAAAGGAAGAATTAGGGTTAGCTCCAGGAGGAAGGAAGGGAGTTAAGTGGGTGGAAGTTACAGGGTATTTGCTTTATAACAATTTGCAAAACTCTACTTTTCTGCATGCTTACTTCTCAGTTTTAAAAGACTCTTAAAACAGAAGAGACTGTAAGGAAAAGCACCTTTTCTTATGAAACTACTTTAGAACATGCTTCTCCAAAATGAAACTGTAAAGGGAAAAAGACCAACACAGGATCTAACACATGATAGAGAATCAAAGGAAATCCCCTAAGATGATTTTAAAAGAAGCCTGAAGAATCAACAGTTCAGATTAGAACAGGATTAAAGGCTCCAGGAAGATAGTCTGCAAGGGAAAAATAGAGGGAAAAAAAAAAAAACTTGGCAGACTACCTGAGTGCTTTCAGTCATGAGAAGCAATGTGCAGTATGAATGGAGAGTAAGGGGGTAAGTAAACAACCCTAGGAGTAAATTATTACATCTAGGGAAACACCGAAAACACTCTCCATAGTCACAAGAGTATGAACACTGAGCGATCTGACTGAAAGGTAATAGAAAGATGCAGGGAGGGAAGGATAAGCAGGAGTGGGAGCTTAGTCAAGCTCAGTCTTCATCTTTCATTGCAGGAATTCAACAGATCACAAACTGAAAAGTCCAGAAGTACTATAAGCATGAAACTTAAAATATAAAGGTCAATATTTGAAAAAAAACCACACACACAAAAAACAGCTTTAAAGAAGTTGAAAGTGTTTGCCTCAGAACAGAAACAAGTTCTGGTGAAGGCTATGGCAGAAGATGCCACTCACTGTAAGTCTTGCAAAATCTTGCAATAATATTTTAAACATTTACACTACACATGCATATTAACTTTGATAAAAGTAAAGTAAAATTAAAATCTAGTGGGGAGCATTTGCTGCACAAACAATCCACATACTGACTACCCCTACAGTTTCAAACTTGTCAGATATATATAGTTAACCTATTTAAATAAAGTTAACAGGTTGAATGAGAAAAAGGCTTATCTAATTTGAACATAACTAATTTGGAATCTGAAAAGTAATAACTAATTATATGGCCTTTTTCAGTGAAAAACACCTGGAAAATTACAACTTAATATACACTTTTACCTTGTAAAAGTTTCCATATGACTTCCGAATATTGATCCACTTTTTAGCAAAAGAAGGATATTTGATCCTGCTGATTTGGCACTGAATGTTCAAGAACTTACTCATATCCCAAGAACTATAAATTAAAAGAGGAGAAAAAATGGATTAAATAAATGCTATACTATTTTACAAATAAGTATTTTAAATCATTTTGTATTCATATATGTAAATTTTCTCATATTCACACATGACATCCAGCTGAGAAAATTAACTTTGTTTCCTACAAAATATTAATTCAAAATTAAGATTTAAAAACAAAAAAAGAAGTCAGATATATTAATTTTTGTTCACTAATTCCTATTAGGTTCATCTTGATTCTTTTTATGGTTCTGGGCAGGCTTCTATCTTGCTGACTATTAATTGCTAAGCTTACTTTTAATGCCAGACTTATCGTAGTAAGTTCTTTGAGAGCATGCTTTAAAATAAAACCAAAAACAAAAAATTGAAAGAGACAAAAGTAGCTGATATCAAATGGTTAAAATACAATCTGTTCTGCTACAATATGTTTCTATAACACTAATCAATTTATTGTAGTTAAGAAGGACAATATTAACCGTGTGATATGGAAATTGTGTTCGTTCATATGTGGTTTTTCTTAGTCAAGGAGTCAGAATAATAGCAGTAGAAATTATAACCTTCTGCAGGAAACTAAAAAAGCCCTCAACTCAGCTGTTATACTGGGAAAAGGATATAATCCTTTGTATTTTCTTATAATACTGTCAACTATACTATAAGAAAATTAAAAACAAGTGTATGTCCCCAGGATACCTGTGCCTCTGTGCAATTTTAATATCCATTGAGGCAACCTCACCTTCCCTTAGTTGCTTGTCTGGGCTGTATCTCCAAATTATTTCTGGAGGCTCCAGTGATTGTTTTTTGATAGTGCCCTAGTTACAAAATTACGTTTAAGTTGTGAATGATCTGCCCCAGAAAACAAGACTTTAAAAGAACTGCATACTGTGGCAGAAACACCTGTATATGTTAGCAGAACACTGCTCACCAATGCTTAAAATCAGTAACAGATTTCTAAAGAGGTCCATAAACATTTTCCAAACTTGGCAATTATGATGTGCTTAAATTCAATGCTCTTCTCTTATCATACGTGAGGATCTCTAAGCCCTCTATGTTGGTAACATCTCAAGTATAGAGGATAATCCATACAGTTTGAAACAGAAGTTGTGTAGGACATTCTTTTCAACCTTAAGCACACAGAGAAAGGACAAACCATGTGAATTCCTGAGCCAGTCTGACTAGAGTAAAGAGGATTAATGGCAGGTGAATTAGATTAAATGAGTCAGTTGGGATGAGATGAAAGGGCCTTCAATGCCAAGCTCAGGAATCTGGACTTTTTTGAGCAAGGCAGTGTCATGATAAAAACAGTTTTATGAAAGTCTTTTTAGCGTCACATATTTATCTTTCTGTAGTGCTCTAGTCCTGGATTAGACTGTGACCACTGCTTTCCTCCTCTCTTTCATTCTTAGGAGAAAGGAAATATACTGTCCCCTGTAGGGTGAGACTCTAGGGTCTTTAATAATAATTTTGTGATTATTCTAAAAGTTAAATAAATAAGGGTATCTTTAATCTTTAAAAGGTAGATATAAAAAATAATCTTCCTAAATACTTACCCATCTGTTAAAATTGAATATTTATACTTTGTTCCTAATTCCTTCAATTTCATCCAGTCAATTACTTTTTTTAGTACATGAGGGAAGGTATCAGCTCTGTCTACCTGATCCTGAGGATATAAAAGTAAAATATATAAAAATCAGGGCTGTAGCTTCATGTAGCCCTACAAAATACCCAGACCTAACTTGGAGGGAAATGAATAGTATGAGAAAGGCTGATGCTTTAGATTCATGATTTCCTTGGCTTAGCTCCACCTAAAGTTTGCTAAGAAATTTGAAAAGTTTTATAACCAAGTACAAGGGACTATTTCAACTGAAATGTATAATCCTCCCAAAATTAAGATTGAAGATCAGCCCCAGTGGTTTTCTTTTTACAGGCCTCACCTAGTGGCTTGCTGGATTTCTAGAGAGGAGAAAAGAGAAATCTCCTTCTAAGCTGAAAGCCACAGCTCCCTAAGTGTCTTCCCATTTCAGGTCTCACACTTTTCCATACCATACTAACTACTGCTGCCAGATTGATCTTCCTAAACATAAATCTGGTCCACCCTATCATTCTCATACTTAAATCCTCCAACCACTCTCCACAGCTTTCAGGATAAATATATGCACAAGACCCTCCATGACCTGGATTGCCTCTGCCTATCTGGACCATTTTCTTGCTAGCCCATACACATCTGAACCATCCTGAACTACCTGCAGTTCTGCCAGTTCACACCAGAAATGTCCAGCCATTCTTTTTTGCCTACCTACCTTTCATGACTCAGCCTAAGTTCATCAACTTGAGACTGTTTTTCCCAGGACAATCTTTTATTCCCTCTGTCATAAATGGAAGACCTTTTCATAAATGTCCATAATACCCCAGTAAAATACTGACTTATCAGTCCTAACCATTCTGTGACCACAGGACTGACATACATCTATATACACATAAAGATTTATATATAAATCTTGGCATATATTATAGTAGGGACTCAAATACATGTGGAATGAATGAATGAAGGAACTAAATAAATGAACAAAGTGCCTACGACATTAGAATACAACAAAAAATCAGAGACCTAAAAATTCATGAAACAGGCCAGGTGTGGTGGCTCATGCCTGTAATCTCAGCACTTTGGGAGGCTGAGGCGGGCTTGAGGTCAAGAGTTCTTTAAGACCAGCAGGCCAACTGGGTGAAACCCGTCTCTACTAAAACAAAATTAGCCGGGCATGGTGGAGCATGCCTATAGTCTCAGCTACTTGGGAGGCTGAGGCAGTAGAATCATTTGAACCTGAGAGGTAGAGGTCACAAGGAGCCAAGATTGTGCCACTGCATTCCAGTCTGGGCAACAGAGTGAAACTCCATCTCAAAAAAATAAAAATTAAAAATAAACGCAACATATAAAGTCAGGTTGTAAAAAGACACATTCTAAAACTTATCTCTGGCCAGGCACAGTGGCTCACATCTATAATCCCAGCACTCTGGGAGGCCAAGGCAGGCAGATCACTTGAGGTCAGGAGTTCAAGACCAGCCTGGCCAACATGGCAAAACCTTGTCTCTACTAAAAGGACAAAAATTAGCTGGGCGTGGTGGCACACACCTGTAGTCCCAGCAACTTGGGAGGTTGAGGCAAGAGAATTGCTTGAGCTCAGGAGGCAGAGATTGCAGTGAGCCGAGATCACGCCACTGCATTCAAGACTGGGTGACAGAGTGAGACTATCTCAAACAAACAAACAAACAAACTTATCTCCAAGTTCAGTACGGTAATAATTTGTTAATGCTTCATTTTACAAATGAAATCTTTAGATTCATCACTACAACTCCTTAAGAGGAAAGGCTGAGGAAAAAGTTACCAGCTGTAAAATTTGCTGTGTTTTTAATTATTACAACATGAAAGATCTTTACCAAGCAAGATATTAATTTAAATTGTTCACACAGTAACAATTTTTTAAAACTCTGTTGAAAATAACTCCCTAATTTCAAAAACTCTTTCAAACTCTAGAAGGAAGAAGTTGGAATTATAACCTGAGTAATTCCAGTAAGGCTGATGCAGAAATCAGACAGCCGTGTGTTAATCTCTGGTCTTACATACTGCTGAAATGTGTCTTCCTGCAAGGGAAGGACAGCAAATTAAAGTAATTTATATGACTTAAGGTACACAATACATTATACCGACAAATTCAGTTACACCAGGTTATAATTTTATAAAATCTCATGGCATAAACCCTTCCACAGTTTTTAAGGATAATTCCCCATACCCAAAGCACTCTTAATTTTTAAATTAAAAAATCATTTGGTTCATAACTCAAAACAAAGATAAAGCAAGTGTGTGGAAAGTAAGACTTGAACCCAAAATTTAAATATTTTCCTGAGGAATAAAATATAATTTTGTTCATAATATTTTAAAACTACAAAGCCTATTAATGCAACCTCTACTTCAAGATACTAAGAGTTTTAAAATAATAAATTCTTTTTAAGAAATGCCAGTCTTCAGTTATAATAAATTGGCTCTAAACTATTGCTCTCTCATTTACTCCTGAATAGTCTTTATTTTCATAGAAAAATCCAATTGAACTAAATTCTAAATAGTCAAAATTTAATGTATAATACAGGTAGTTTAAGTGTTGCAGCCAGGCACAGTGGTTCACACCTGTAATCCCAACACTTTGTGGGGGCCGAGGTGGGCGAATCACGAAGTTAGGAGTTCAAGGCAGCCTAGCCAACATAGTGAAACTCCATCTCTACTAAAAATGAAACAACTAGACAGGGCATGGTGGCGAATGCCTGTAATCCCAGTTACTCCAGATTTTAACCTTTTCAAGAAGCTTTCACCATAGTCTTATTTTATGCTTACAACTCTGTAAACTAAGTGAGGCCAGTATTGTTATCAGGCTACAATCTTTAAGTACTTTTTCCTCTAGTCTAACAATGCCTCCCTAACCAGAACATACCAAGTCACATTTCAGAAATTAAGGACAATTTCAAAGCCTAAAGATTTAAAGGCAGCAACTGCTAATCCTAGGAAGTAGATATAGAGAAAATGACAAAAAATATTCTTTATGACAGAAGATTTAAAAATTAAGTAGCATTTATACGTCCTAAGAACAAATTCTTTCTACATACTAATCTATTAAGTATATGAGCTATAAATGGTTGTAAAGAATTGTAAATGACCAACAGTAAAGAACAAAAAAGAACACTTGAGGTTGGGCACAGTGACTAACACCTGTAATCCAGCACTTTGGGAGGCCAAGGCGAGGGGACCACTTGAAGTCAGGAGTTTGAGACCAGCCTGGCCAACATGGCAAAAATCTCATCTCTACTAAAAGTACAAAAATTAGTCGGGCAAGGCAGCATGTGCCTATACTTCCAGCTACTCAGAAGGCCAAGGTGGGATAATCGCTTGAACTGAGGAGGCGGGATTGCAGTGAGCCGAGACTGCACCACTACACTCCAGCCTGGGAGATAGAGACAGACTCCATCTCAAAAAAAAAAAATTGAATTTCAAAAGTTAAATATTCTTTACTCACCAGACATACTGCAGAAAAATTCCATTTAACTGAGTATCACAGATAAATTAAGTCTATATCCTTTTAAGTATCACTATTTTTAAATTTTAAATGAAATTCTTTCAAAAATATATTGCAACTTCCCTTAAATTAGAATTCGATAGTACTAAACAGATATTACTAAAATTTTATTCACTATTAAATACTTTTAACAGAAGAATGCTAGAGAGAACTATGTATGCATTCATTGACCAAATCTTTAATCATCACTTAAATAAATTACATAAGTTCAAAGGTAGTAAGGGTTACTAAAAGTTTAGGAACCTGGGTGCCTATAATCCCAGCTACTCAGGAAGATGAAGCAGGAGACTCCCTTGAGCCAACAAAGGAAAAAGCAGAGCAGTAAGGGGGATCAAAAACATGGGGTATGTGGGATAAGACACACTCTTAAATAGGATAATCAACTAGGCTTTATTGACAGGTAAGATTTAAGGAAGGACTGAAAAGAAAAATGGGATGGAAGGAGAGAAGAAGAAAAAGATCAGCCAGCAACACTTCGGGGTAAGAAAATTGGAGCTGAAGTCCTGGGAAGAAATGGGATAAAGCATGCCTGGCATTTTTGAGAATCAGCAAACAGGCCTGCAAAGAATGAATTAAAGAAAAGAACAGTAAGACAGGATCAATCAGAGGAAACAACAGGCCAGATCATGTAAGGAATATGGGTTGTACTGTGAGTTAAATGAGGAGCCAGTGCAGCGTTTTGGGCAGAGGAGTGAAATGACCTGACTTACATTTTAAAAGAATTACTCTGGCCACTTTGTTGAGAACTGGTTGTAGGACATGGACAGAAACACAAAGACCAGTTAGATGGAGAATGTAGTAAATCACATAAATGACAGGGGCTCAGACTGAAGTCACAGCAGTTCAGTTAAGTGACTGGGTTCTGTATCTATTCTAAAGGCAGGGCCAAACAGGAATCATTGATGGCCTGGATATGAGAGAAACAGGAGTCAAGGATGACTCCAAAGTTTTTGAACTGAGCAATTAGAGGGATTCTAATTGGAAAAAGCTGCCATCACCCAAGCTAAAGAAGGCTGAAGATAAAATGGGTTGGGGTAAATTCAACAGGTTGAGCCATGCAATTAGAGTCGTCAAGTAAGCAGTCTGGATTTGGATCAGAGGTACGGGTTGGAATGATGTATCTGAAAGTCACCAGCATAGAGACAGCTTCTGAAAGCTATGGAACTAGATGAGATCATCAAGCAAGAGGATGTAAGCGGAGAATAGGAGCTAGGATTGAGACCTGAGTCTTCTGATATGGGGAAACTGAGAAGGAGAGGAGGAACCAGGAAAGAAAACTGCAAATGGGAAACCCAGTAGGGCTGGAGAAAAATCAAGCAGAAGTTAGACCTGAAGAAAATGTTCCAAGGAAAGAGTATTAGAGCAGTGCAGTGTTTTTTTATTTTTTAAGTGAGAATGGCCAGGCGTGGTGGCTGACGCCTATAAACCTAGCACTTGAGGAAGCCAAGGCAGGTGGATTGCCTGAGCTCAGGAGTTCGAGACCAGCCTGGGCAACATGGTGAAACCCTGTCTCTACCAAAATACTAAAAATTAGCTGAGCATGGTGACACAGGCCTGTAGTCCCAGCTACTCGGGAGGCTGAGGCACGAGAGTTGCTGGAATCCAGGAAGCAGAGGTTGTAGCAAGCTGGGTTTGTACCACTGCACTCCAGCCTGGGTGTAAGACTCTATCTCAAAAAAAAAAAAAATGAGAATGGTCAATTTTGACAGGATTTAGGGTAGAAGTCAAAGATGATGTTGATGAATGATTTTCATGGAATGATGGGATTGAATACATAGCTTAAACTGAATTGAATTTAAACCCACAATGGTATGAATTTAAGAGAGAATGGGAGAAAAGACACACACATATAAATTATAAGTACATATAACTTATGTGAAGAATCTTCCCAAAAAGAGGAACAAAGAAATGGGGTAGCTGGCAGTTCAGTGCAATGAAGTGAACTTTTTTTATGGTGTGAAAATAATGTTTGTGTGTAGTGGCAGCAATATAGTAGAAAGCAATAAATCATAATGTCCAAATGAGAATTGCTAGAGTAATGTCCCTGAGTAAGAGAGAGGATGTAAAATCTAGTGATGGAAGATTACTTGCCTTCATAACTGCCATTTTTCCTTCTAATTTACTGACCATCAATCTGCTTTGGATGAGAAAATTATAGAAATAGACTAATTAAGACTGTAACTAAAAGAGATTGTGAACAGCATGAAGAATAACCTATGCATGTTAACTCACAGCCTTTTTAAACTAACTCCCAAGTGGGTTGGTGGCAACTGAAGATATCACAGAAGTGACTTTTGGAGAGATGAGATGTTAGGATATTCTTGCTCAGATTTCGTAAGGCAAACTATTATTTTAGGGAATTCCTATGATTTCCTGAACAAACAATGCACTGACAAGTATCTAAAGCATACATATTATTTGGCTTAGAAACCAGGGTTATAAAAGTCATTTCCCCCATAACCTCTCCACCAGAGAGAGATTCAAAAGTCATTTTGTAAATTATCATTCTTAAAGATCACACTAGCCCACAGCAGTGGTTATCAAGCCTAACTTCATATTAAAACCAACTGAGAAGCTTGAAAAAAATGCTGATGTTAGGGGCCCTATCAGAGAACAAAATTAGAATCTCTGGGACTAAGGCCAGGCATCAGTGTCATTAGTATGTTTTTTTTATTTTTTTACTTACAAGGAGATTCTGATGTCCACACCCAGATGTTCTAAGCAAACGGAAAAAAAATTTTTAACTTTAGCTACTGCAAAAAGCAAGCAGTAGTCTCTAAAATTGCTTTATAATAGCTTTTCTATTAATCAAGCTGATATAAAGTTCACAGCAAAGAAAAAAGCTTACTTCAGAAGAAGTCTAATTCTAGGTATATAGCAAATGAGGTCTTCCACATTACCAGTAAATGCCAGAATAGTTGCTGCTAGAAATACAATTAAAATATAAATATTCACTTACTATTTCTAAAGTATGCGTATTCAGTAAAACAACCGGAAATTCAATTATTTCATGTACAAACTCAGGTGGGTTTCCTTCTTCACAAGTGGCTTCAAAGTCAATAATACAAATGTAGTCATAGTAACTGTCAGCACAGCTGCTCTCTTTCAACATCAGCTTCTGCTTCTTATAATAGTTTTTCAGTCTCTTCTTTAGTACATCCTTTACTCCTCTAAGTACAAGAAGAGTATTTACACTTACGTAAATTTTATAGTCAAGAATCAAAACTCTTACCTGCGCTGGGTTGAAACTGACAATCATAGCATAATTTAGCAAATGCTAGCTAAAATCAATGTAAGAAAAGCAAGACTCAAAGCTAAGTTAGCAAAGAACTAATTAAAATAACATGTTTATTACAACATTAACATTTTCCTTCATAAGTAGTTTTTCATTTTAGTAGTATATAATAGCATTTTCTCCAACATAGACTGGTATTTCAAACCATAAACATTGTCAGCATATACCACCAACACAGTCACATTGCCTTATATACTAAGATAACATACATGATACAAACATTGAAATTAATATTAAATTATTCTACTGGCCAAATATAAACTTAGGAATATGAAAACTCATGTTGAAAAGATCACATTATCTCCTTCCTTTCTTTTGAGTTTTGTAGGTTAGTCAACTCAAAAGATTCACACGAATATGAAAGTGTTAGGAGCCTAGCATATAAAGGTGAGTGTCTGTTGGCTACTTAACTAGGACAACTAAATTAGAATACACTTTAAGTAAACTATGTCCAGAGGAACATCATCATACTAGTAGGTTCTTAACTACAAGTAAGTTTCTAAATTTATCATGGGTAGAATATGATTTAGGGGATTTTAATACTACAGGTGGCTTTAAAATTTCACAGGCCAGTCATGTTGGCTCGCTTTGGGAGGCTGAGGCAGGCAGATCACAAGGTTGAGTTCAAAAATTAGCTGGGTGTGGTGCCAGGTGCCCCTAGTCCCAGCTGCTCGGGAGGATGAGGCAGGAGAATGGCTTGAACCCTGGAGGCGAAGGTTGCAGTGAGCCGAGATTGGGCCATTGCACCCCAGCCTTGGCAACAGAGTGAGACTCTGTCTCAAAGAAACACACACACACTCCACAAATGGACTAATAGGGAGAAGAGAACAGTCCTAAGAGATAATAATGGTTGATCAGGCGATCTCATTCTTCAAACAGTACTTTTCCAAAAAATTAAGTAACAACCAGTGTTCAGGCTTCCTTCAGTGTTATGTAAATGAATCCTATATGGCCTGCAATATGAAATGGAAGTAAAAATAAGAGAATCTAAATTATAATTAATGTATAGTGCTAAGTATCGTATTTTGGTCATATTAACTAATTAACGGCTATTTTTAAAACTTTAAATATTTTATTTTCCTTTCTAAACATTAAAAAAAATCCTACCCATGAAAATATTAATAATCAACCAGTTAGCTATTTTAAGACAAAATGTCTTAATGTTGTTTCTTTGCTTGAAGTTTTCCAAATTATCAAAACCTAGGGAGAAAACTGCTTAACCCCTTTCATATCAAGGCACTGTGAATGACCTCTGTGTCATGTGACATCTTTGGATTACTCTGTTTTAATTTTTGTTGTTGTTGTTGTTGTTGTTGGCGGGGAGGTGTAGTACGGGGAGTAACTACTACATTTACCGGAGTTGTCTGCAAAGCTAATGGCAGGACAAACATAACTAGTTGTTCTGGATAGAACCTGTTATCTTTAACATCTCCTTTGCTCTACCAAATACTCACCATGTTTGCCAATTCCAACTAAGAAAAATATTCAGAATCTGGTACTCCTTAATTCTTTCTGCTATGGCTCCAATTAGCTTCGTGGACTATGGCAAATGCCTCCACTACCAAAACCCTTCAATTCATTCCTTACCTTACTTGAGAACTGAGCACGAATGCCAATTTCCTGCTTTAATATTTTCAGTGGCACCCTTCTGCTTACAAGGTAAGATGTAGAGTTCAGCACAGAGTTCCTTCACAACTTGGCTACAACCTATCATTTCAGTATCATTCGCAAATGTTCCTGAGGTACATTGTGTAATGAAGACAAAATATACTATAAGTCATGGGTTCCACAGGCCAGATGGCTCACATTCATAATCTCAACACTTTGGGAGGTGGGTGGATCACTTGAGCTGGAGTTTGAGACCAGTCTGGGCAACATGCAGAAACACTATTTTCACTAAAAATTTGAAAATTAGTTAGGCGTGGTGGTGAATGCCTGTAATCCCAGCTACTCAGGAGGCTGAGGCACACAAATCACTTGAATCCAGAAGTCGGAGGTTGCAGTAGTTGAGAACACGCCACTGCACTCCAGCCTGGGGGCAGAGCAAGACTCTGTCTCAAAAAAATAAAAAAAATTTAAAAGTCATGTTCTCAATATGTGTGGTACACTTTGATGTCCTATAACTTTGGTTACACAACAGCTGAAGAGAAGGCAAGATCATGTTGCAGAAACCATACAAATTATAGAAGTTTCTGTGTTTTTGTCTGAAATACCCTCCTTCCCTTTTCTGTCTGGCACAATTCAAATGTTATCTTTCTGAATTCCTGAGAAATACTCCCCTCTGTATTCTTACGCTGTACTGGGCCAGACCTGCAATATAGCATTGGCCACTCCATATTGTGATGATTTCTGTATGTTTTCCCAAAAGACTAAGATTGCCAAAGTGGGGAACATATCTGTAGTTACCTTTATAACTTCAATGTCTAGTGCAGTACTTAGAATTCAATACAGGCTTGTTGAATAAATGTATAAACATATATCTAGATCTCCAGCTCCCGTACAAGCCAGGAGTAAACAACTAAACTTCACACCTGGGAAGGACAAAAATTTTGCTCAGAAAATCTTTTGCAGATTACAAGTTGTACCTTCATAACAGAAAGAATTGGGGAAATAGGAGTCAAAAATTTCTTCATAAATTATGATGTAGACATTCTAGAAAAAAAATTTGCTCTTTTGAAGAGTAGTGAAGCTCTATTTTAAAGTGGAAAATGAATGCTAATTATAAGAGAATTATGATTCAGAGATGTCTCGAAACAGTAAGAGTTACCACCTATTTCATACAGGCCATTTTTCTTCTTGATGCCTGGCAGTTCTACTGTTTATAAAAAAATCTATGCAGTTTTCTGGACTCCAAAAGCCATTCCTGTCCCATGGCCCAAATCAATGTAAAGTGATCCGTTTTGCAAGAAAGTTACTAAAAACTTAGGTATGTGTATATCTCATTAAAGTACACAGTTGACTAAGCTGCATTGTTTTCTCATTCAATATACAATTAAACATAATGTACGCCATCATTGTAATTATTTTTTAGAAACTAAAACAAAACAAAAAAATATTTCTGGTAAGTGAATGATGTTTTTAAATTACTGTACCTGGTTTCAAACAAACTCTTTATAAAAAAAATACAAATGGCAAAAAGAAAAACAAAAAACAATCTCACAAATATAACTATCCGTCATGTAAATGACCAACTAAAAAAATGAAAAACACACTTGTTATGAAATAGATACACCATACATTGCTGGTAGATCATTAAAACATTCATAGACTTTGATTCAGCAGTCGTATCATCTAGAAGATGGACAGAAATAATCAGAGTTGCACATAAAAAATGTAAATTAGTTTTTTGAACTGTTAATAGGATCATGTCATTGTGGTAGGATTACAGATAATTTTTAATATTTCAATGTTTTCAAGACTTTCTAAAATGAGTATGTACTACTTTTAAAAGTTATTTTTAATTACCTGGTTTCAAGCTTGAATTCTGAAAGCTTAGCTCTGAGTTCTTCCTTACTCATTCTATTAATACAACCATTGGTAATAGCAATCTCTTTGTAAACTGGGTCACTGAAGTCACTCGCACTGGAGGTAATGAACTTGGATCCTTTTGTTTCTTGGCCATCAAATCTACACTGATTTTTCTACAAAAAAAAAAGATATACTTTATAAATAGTACAAACACCACAGATTTAAAGATTCAAACTTCTGAAGACTCTTCACTCCACATGTTCCATGAAAAGTGTTCTCTGCAGTTCGTGGAGGGAGGAAAAGATAAGAAGGAGGAAGATGTGTCTCCAGTACAATTTACCCTGCTCTATTCTGAGTCACGAGGTTTTCAAAGGAAACAAAGCTAAGTGAAAAGAGGACTGGTGTTGGGAGTCAACACCACCTCAATAGAGAGCCCCAGCTGACCATTTACTATAAATAGCAGCAATGACCTTGGGTAGTTATGTACTGGCTTCTGATCTTCAATTTCCTTATCTGTAAAATGGTATTTGGTAATGGTAAATAGTGGTTGGGCAGAATTATTACCAAGATTAAATGAGATTATTTGTATTGGGCTCCTACACCCACAGTAGCTATTAATGGTAACTATTAATATCACAAGCTATACAACAAAGCCTTCACAAACAATATTCTAGTATTTATAAATGCACCCATTTGTAAATGAACATTTACGTTATACATGTATAATGAATTCCTGGGAATTTTTAAACCCAACTTCATTTCATGTTAACAAACATTGCCCAACATAAAAATAAAATGGACTGCAAATCTAATTCAAAGCTTCCTAGTACTTCAAAGCAAAGAAGGAAATGCATTTCATTTTGAAACTCACATTTTCCAAAAGTTATACTTATGTCAGCTATCCAGAAGAACTACAGAATCGTAAATCTTTTCTCTTTTCATAAATAAAAATCTGTTAAGAAAAAATATGACTCAATTCTATTTTCTCCACAGGTAATCTCAAATTACTATTACATTAAGTTCCAAAGATTCATTTATAATTATTTTCCACATGCAATATCATAAATATTAACTATGTTCCAGAATTTTCAAAAATACATGGGACTTACTATTAATCCCTATTAAAGCTTGTTACCTTAGTTAAAATTTACCACATTGTCCTCATGTAAACTTTAATTACAGATAAAGGAAGGATAATCAGAGGCCACAGTCCCTGACTTAGAACTAACTGATCCTGATAGTTCAGGAACTATTTTTTACTCTAAGCTCTCAATTTAATGCAACACACATTTACTGGAAATGTAATGGTAGGTAAGGTGCCAGAGTACTCAGGAGTCACTCACATCCATCTCCTTTTAGGAAGAGGTCAGCAGTTCCAATGTGTGAACTGTCCATAAATTAAAGAATAGCCACACTGAGGTTTCTTGTTAACAATGTTAAGGAAAAAAAAAAAGTATTGCTATTTGACTCATAATTCACTTTTAAAAATATATTACGTTTACAATAGATATCTCTCTACTTGATCACAACTCAATAAAAAATTATCTTTTGACTTTAAATTTACATTGAATTTTGAACTTCATCTTTAGGTTAAGATTTAGGTCAACATTAAGTAACAGTTCGTCCACCAAAACAGATGTCTTAATTAATTTAAGTAGATTTTCTCTATGGATAAATCCTCTTTCTGATTCACTTGTTAATTCTCATCCAAAACTGTAGCTACAAAAATTATTCCCAAGTAACACTTAGGCCTCGTCTATAGATGCTATAAATTATGAATTATATAAAGAAAAATTTGCTTCCTTTCTGAGGTCCAGTTCTAGAACTCTTCTCTTCTAGTGAAGTTCTAGGGACAGCCAAGGTCCAATCCTCAGAAATCAGTGTCTCCTGCCAAATTTCACATCTACACTAATGGATCACAAAGAAGGATGCTCAGATCAATCCGCTAAGGAGTAGAAAGAAAATACTAAAAATCGTACTTGTACTGTTAATCTGCAGAAACACAAAATTAGTTTACGAAATACATACTTACATATGCATCAGCATCCACACCAGTATCTACATCCATCTATCACGTATCACATACAGTATTGACCATATACTGAAAAAAGTGACAGATTCCACAATATGGAGAGAAACATTCACCTTCACAGAACAGCAACGTTTTGCAATATTCACATGTCCAATTAAGTGGATGTATAGTTTATATTATCTCAAATAAGAGAAGCTTTTACATTATGGGATATGGTAATGAAAATCTTCTATACCAAACAGAGGTTTATTATCTTGTGACAAAGTACTTTTAAACTGTTGTTGAACTTTAAGATGAATTACATATATTCTTTTACAAAGACAGGTATTCTAAAATTGCTGTCCTCTCTTATTGGGAAGGGAACTGGAGCTTGATTTTTAGCATTTTTGTTTAAATGAATACAAACTGTTGTTGCAATATCAAAGAAAATATATTTTAACAGTAAGCTAGAAGGTAACTGCTTGTCAAAAGAAACTTTTCCTATATAAAGAACATTTTGAAAACATGTACTTGCCAAAAATCTAGGCACTACCTATTAAAAAAAGAAAATGAAAACTCCTGCCTCTGCACACTGAAGAAAAAACTTAGAATTTTTCTTGATTGAGGTTCTTCCAAAAAGAGTTCTGATGAAATTTGAATCTACTTATTCAAAATATAAATATGCAATAGCTTCTATTAGCTTACAAAAACAACTGGCATTAGAGATGATAAAAATTTACCACCTGAATTCAACAAAAAACTTTGCTTGAGACTGAAAAAAAAAAGACTGTACCATGGCAAGGCGTTGTGGCTCATGCCTGTAATCCCAGCACTTTGGGAGATTGAGGCAGGCAGATCACCTGAGGTCAGGAGTTCAAGACCAGCCTGGCCAACATGGTGAAACCCTAAATACAAAAATACAAAAACAAGCTGGTCATGGTGGTGAGTTCCTGCAATCCCAGCTACTAGGGAGGCTGAGGCAGGAGAATAGCTTGAACCTGGGAGGCCGAGGTTGCAGTAAGCCAAAACCATACCATTGCACTCCAACCTGGGCAATAAGAATGAAACTCTGTCTCAAAAAAAAAAAAAAACCTGTATCAATACTATTATTTTCTTGAGATAGGGTCTCACTTGTCACCTAGGTTGGAGTACAGTGACATGACCACAGATCACTGCAGCCTCCACCCACAGGCTCAGGTGATCCTCCCCACTCAGCCTCCCTAGTAACTGGGACTATGGGCAAGTGCAACCATGCCTGGCTACTTTTTATTAAAAAAGAATTTATCGGCCAGGCATGGTGGCTCACGTCTATAATCCCAGAACTTTTGGAGGATGAGGCAGGTGTGTCAGGAGATCAGGACCATCCTGGTCAAAATGGTGAAACCGTGTCTCTACCAAAAAGACAAAAATTAGCTGGGTATGGTGGCGTGTGCCTGTAATCCTAGCTACTTGGGAGGCTGAGGCAGGAGAAGTGCTTGAACCCAGGAGTTGGAGGTGGCAGTGAGCTGAGATCGCACCACTGTACTCCGGCCTAAAGACAGGGCGAGACTCTGTCTCACAATTAAAAAAAAAATTATTAAGAGCATGCAACAGTAAGTTTTTAACAATTACTACCGTCACTAAAGCCAATTTGGAACAGAGACCCAGGCCTTAAGTAGCTGTAAAAGTGCCAAGACTTTGAAATACAAAGAAGCATATTCAAACACACTTCTTTTATTAAAAGTAAACTTTGAAATTTATTTTAAAAACCACTCACACAATGAGACTGACACAATATATTTCAGGTTGAAGTGGGAGGCAGGTGGAAGAGTGGTCTTTTTAAGAGAGGGCTGTGTAAGTACTCTTTGAAAGTAACAGCTTTAGGAGGAGAAAGATAATTGCAAATATCCGAAGGAAGTACAAGCAGGGCAAAAGGAACATAGAGACCCTTAACGAGAAAGACCTTCCTTCCAATGTAAAAGAACACAAGGAAGCAAGGGGCACTGAGAGCAAAAGAGAAAAACTGTGTGAGCTACAATTAGCAACTGAGGCAGGCACCAGACCCTGCAGAGCAGCAAATCGAAGTTACTAAGGAGGGGAGTAAGCCAAATTCATGTTATGAAAAAGGTCATTCTAGCTGCCATGCGGAAATTGATTGTGGACGTAAGTAGCAAGAGCTAAGGCGCCTCCTGCAAATACCCACTTTATGAAGTGCTCAACATGTTTATTATTAGGAAAAGATCAATTTTAGTATTCAATCACAATCCGCAGTGCTAGCCAACAATTACATTCGTTAAATAAGATAATAAGTTTTAAGACTGTTCTACAACTGCCACTGTAACTAGGTTCAACCAATGAGACGTCAAAATCATTCAATCAATCGTATACTATGTTTATATGAGTCAGCAGTAAATAAGCAAAGGCAGCAAAGACGATGCTCCGCCTAATTCCTAAGAGAGAGGAATGAGGGAGGCTGGTGGGCGTTTAATTAAAAAAAAAAAGTTATGAAGTGACATACTAGGGTATATAGGGCGATTTAAAAATACAAAGCCTTGCAAATTACCCGTAAGGGCTAGATGGAGTGACAACAGCAACCGTGAACACAGAATGTTTAGAGCAGAAATCCCACTTAGAACCTATTAACCCAGTGTTGACAGGACTCCTAGATCTTGACGATTTCCTCCCACTCAGAAACTGATTCGGCCCTGAGGGGGTTTCATGAAAAACATCCCAGGATGAGGCTCGGGAGCTGGGCAGGGGGGAAGCAGCTGGGCTTCAAGGGCGCGCCGTGGCACCTTCTGCGGGACACCGGAGAAGAAAGGGGTGCTGAAGGCGCTTGGAGTATCGGGGCAACGGGCGCCGACAACCGGGCGCGGGCAGCCTGCTCACCTCAGGACTCGGATGCGGCGACTCTTCCCCGCCCTCCAGCCGTGGCGACTCCTGCAGCGCGGGAGCCACGTCCTCGCCGCCAGCCTCTTTGCTCTGTGGATTTTCCATGCTTGCTGTCACGTCAGAAGAAAGCTGCTGGGGCAGGACCGTCGCTCACTCTCACCCGGTCAAGCCCGAAAGCTTAGCCTTTCTCAGTTGAAAAATTACCGGGCTCGCGTTCCCGCGGCGGCGGCCACACAAACTCCTACGGCCACCTCCTACTTCCGGGAGCGTGTGGCGTCCACACGCCGAGCAGGCGCAGTGAACTCGCGCGCGCGGAACGCCAGCGCCGCAGCCCACAGTGGGAGGGAGGAAGAACCAGAGGGAGGGGCGCGGGGGAGAAGCTGGTGCGTGACCGGCCGTGGGCGGAGCTAGTGCGGGCCGAAGTTGCGCGAGTTACCAGAGGGTAGCACCGGAACGGGTGATCACGTCAGCATTTCCTGAGAAGGAAAAAAGTAGGGTGAGTGGGGAGATACCATAGAGAAAGATGTTTTCAACCATAAAAAATAGCATGTATAAAACAATTCACATTTTTCATAAGGAGTTTCCTAAAACTTCCACTGCTGGGCAAGAAAAGAAAATGGGTCTGGACTTAGCGTCCCACTATAGACAGTTAGCAAACAGAACAAAATACAGGAAACAGCTCTTCAGACACTGGATAACAGACCTCTGTGCACTGTTTTACCTGAGAGAAGAGAATCAAAAGGAGCCCTATATCACCCTGCCTTTTTTGCCCAGAGGCCATTTCCAGTCTGGTGCGTAGAAAGAAAATCAAATGGAGACCTAGGATCACCTGGTTGAGAAGATAGGGATTGGAGTTGAGGAAATTGGGGTAGTCCAAGTGGGTTGGAATTTGTGGGGCAGAATTATGGAGAGGAGGGAATTACATGGGAAAAGAGCTTCAGGAATCTGCTTAGGAATACCTTTGAATCTTTAACTGAATAAAAAACATAGAACTGCACAAGGCCAGGAGGGAACTATGATTAGGGAGCGCAGTACACCAAACAGTGATCAGAGCTCACACAGAACTGGGAATTATTTGAGTTCCCAGCAACCAGAGTGAGGAGATTATTGAATACCATGGAACCTGCACTAGTAACCTCAGAAGTGAAACTGCCATTGCAAAATTATCATTGAGACAGTGAAAGTGATTGGACCTAACCAACTCCATCTTGCTTTTAACCTCCAAGCTATCTTTATTCATTCCTGGGTGTAGGCCAAACTAACATTGAAACTTAGTGTATAGCTTAGAGTTTAAAACCAAAGTGATAGCCCTCTTCTTGCCTGGGGGCTAGTCTGCTTTTGTAGGACTAACAAATTAGCCAAAAGATTAGAAATCTAATCTTTCTAAGATTTAGGAGTCATACAGCTGGAGGCTATAAGATTGTAACCCTCTCCAAATTGTTCCTGAGGATAATATCACTATTGAGACATTTTGTAGGCCCTGCGCTTGACTCAGCTGGCACCACCCAGATTGATAAACTGGCTCACCTGATCTTGTGGCCCCCCCGCCACCCAGGAACTGACTCAGCAAAAGAGGAGAGCATCGACTACCCAACCAATCACCACTCCCCACTCACTGGCTTCCCACCTACAAAATTATTAAAAACCCTGTTCCCCAAATGCTAAGTGAGACTGATTTGAGTAATAAAACTCTGGTCTCCCACACTGCCCGCTCTGCATGAATTACTCTTTCTGTATTGCAATTCCTCTGTCTTGATAAATTGGCTCTGTTTAGGCAGTGGGCAAGGTGAACCTCTTGGGCAGTTATGAAAGTGTCATGCCTTAGTGATATACAATAGCTCTAGACAGCAGGACCCAGAGCATCAGCTACTGTAGAGTCTTCAAATGCTTAAAAACAAGCCCTGAAAGTATCAAACTACTCTGTAAGTAATCTAATTGCCTCTAAGAACAAAGTCTGATACTCTGAAAGACTACAGTAAAATCTAAGATTCAGCAACATTAAGTTCAAAATGTGAGACATCCAATCAAAAATTAAGAGACAAGCAGCACTTGGGGAGGCTGAGGCAGGAGGATTGCTTGAGCCCAGGAGTTTGAGGCTGCAGTGACCTATGATTGTACCACTGCACCCCGGCCTGGGTGACAGGGTGAGACTCTGTCTCAGAAGAGAGAGAGAAAGAGAGACATACTAAGTGGTAAGAAAATATCTCATGAAGTTAGTGGAAACAAACCCCCAAATGACAAAAATGATGGAATTAACAGACAAGGATTTTAAACACCTGTTATGAATATCCTCAAAGATTTAAAGGAAGGCATGATAGGAGAGAAACTGGAAAGATTTTTGAAAAGCAAATCAGATTTCTTGAGGAAAAAAAATACTTGAAATAAAAATTTCTTTGGATGGGATTGCTAGCACATTAGGCAATGCAGAAAAAAAGATTGATGAATTTAAAGACATAGCAACAGAAACAATGCAAAATGACAAACATAGAGAAAAAAATGAATACAGCCTCAGTTACATGTAGGACCAATTAGAGAGGCTTAATACTATTGAACAAAAGGTAGAAGCTGAGGCGAAATTAATGTAAGTAGAGAGTTTCCTTGGTCCAAGCTTGAGGATTGCAACCCAGGAGCATAGATTGAAGTTGCCCTGAATCCATCTACTCAGAAGATATGCCAATTTGGAAGTTACATGAACACCTTGTAATGAATCATAATTGTTTCAAGTCTTACACATTCTAGATTATTTGCTTTGTTAAATAGGCAATTGAAATAGGGCATAATTTCAATAACAATAATCGTTGATGGGCATAAGTACTCTTTTCTAACCGTGCATACCTCCATCTCAGCTTCTATCTCAAGAAACAACTCTTTTGACTTTGTTTCTTTGATTTCTAGAACTAGTGCAGCAGCATCCAGAAATTTGACTTGCCATAAAGAAAAAGACCAAGAAGAAGGGAATCTAATAGTGAGGCTTTTGTCCTTGAAGGCTGTGATGAGCAGCTGTGCTGGGGAAATCCAAGAAATCTCTGTGAGGAAACTGGATTGTGAGACACAGTTAAAGAATGTGCCTTCTAAAAATCCTAGCTTGGTGAAAATAGTCAAAGTCAGTCAAAAAATCGTCAAAAAAAAAAAAAAAAATCCAAGCTAGATGAAAATACCTAGGTAAAAACTACTATCATGCAGTAACTTTTTTTGTCTTTAGACTGATTTGAACAACTAAAGGCTGAACAAAGTGAAACATGCATGAAAAAATCAACTTAAAAGGAAGAAACTTAGGCAAAATTAATACAAATAGAGAATTTGTTTGGGCCAAACTTGAGGATTGCAACCGTAGATTCAAGTTGCTCTGAGTATACTCAGATTAGTAGCAGCTGCAAGTGAATTTGTAAAGGAAAGAAGAGGCAGTTCCTGTGTTGCTTATCAAGAATTTACTGTAAAGCCAGGCATGGTGGCTCACGCCTGTATGGGAAACCGAGGTGGGAGGATCACTAGAGGCCAGGAGTTCGAGACCAGCCTGGCCAACATGGTGAAACTCCACCTCTATTAAAAATACAAAAATTAGCTGGCATGGTGGCACATGCCTGTAATCCCAGGTACTCAGGAAACAGGCTCAACAATCACCTGAACCTGGGAGGCAGAGGTTGCAGTAAGCAGAGACTGCACCACTGCACTCTAGCCTGGATGACAGAGTGAGAATCCATCTCAAAAAAAAAAAAAAGAAGAAGAAGAAGAAGAAAGAAAACCAGAAACGAAAAAAGTGAAAAGAAAAAATAAAAATAAAAACTTAAAAAATGTATCATCCATCGAAATTCATTTTGCACATTTTTGTGTCTTTGTTTAGATAAACATGCTTAAGGCCGTATGTTAAAAGTTTCAGATTTTGAAATTGAGTGGAAGAAACTCTATTTTTTTGGCATAAAAAAGAAAATGGACTTTCTAGTATGAAGAATTCCAGATGTTTTTTATCATTTGAATTATAAATGATTAATTTGAGGCTTATCATAATTCAACTGACTCAGATTGAGAAATAAGAAAGATAAAGCAGGCCGGGCTCAGTGGCTCACACTTGTTATCCCAGCACTTTGGGAAGTTGAGGTAGGTGGATCACCTGAGGTCAGGAGTTCGAGACCAGTCTGGCCAACATAGCAAAACCCCATCTTCACTAACAACACAAAAATTAGCCAGGTGTGGTGGGACATGCCTGTAATCCCAGCTACATGGGAGGCTGAGGCAGGAGAATGGCTGAAACCCCGGGGACGGAGGTTACAGTGGGCCGAGATAGCACCACTGCACTCCAGCCTGGGTGGCCTGGGCCACCTAGGCTACAGAGTGAGACTCTCTTAAAAAAAAAAAGAAAAAGAGCAAACATTAGAAATAGATTCATTTGAAGATACATATAATTTCTATTTGTGTGCTTGTTCAGCTTCCTAACATCTTCTGTTGTATCAGAAGCTCAAAGTTATTTTGGAAAAGAATATACAATTTTTCTGATTGCAAAAGTCATGCATATTCAGCTGAAAAAAGAAAATGAGAGATGTTTTCCGTCAATCTTTTTTTTTCTTTTTCAGATGGAGTTTCGCTCTTGTTACCCAGGCTGGAGTGCAATGGCGCGATCTCGGCTCACCGCAACCTCTGCCTCCTGGGTTCAGGCAATTCTCCTGCCTCAGCCTCCTCCGTCAATCTTTTAACAGCAACAGAACCAGATTATCAGGCTGTGAAAGAAGTTAGTTTCTTGAAATGCCGCCAGAGGGTGCTCAAACCAAACTCTATCTGAAGTACAGGAAACAGGCTCCTATGCTGTTGGAGGAGCGCATCAGCTTTCAGTTTTAGTTTAGTTTGACAATAAGAAGAAATTAAAAATTCCTAGTCAGTATAGCATGTATTTGAATGTGTCCAAATTTTTAAAAGATTCAGCACTATTCTTTTTGGAGCCTAATTACACATTCCTGTAGATAGCAAACATTTATTGAATACTTAGTGTATTGTGATGGGTGCTATTGATAAAATTAGAGTAAAACTTGATCCTGGCTGTGCGGTGACTCATGCTTGTAATCCCAGCACTTTGGGAGGCAGAGGCAGTCGGGACACCTGAGGTCAGAAGATCAAGACTATCCTGGCTAATACGGTGAAATCCCATCTCTACTAAAAATACAAAAAAATTAGCTGGGCGTGGTGGTGGGCACCTGCAGTCCCAATTACTCAGGAGGCTGAGGCAGGAGAATCGCTTAAACCGGGAAAGCGGAGGTTGCATTGAACCAAGATCACTCCACTGCACTCCAGCCTGGGCGACAAAGCAAGATTCCATCTCAAAAAAAAAAAAAAAGAAAAAACTTGATCTTGACATTTTAGGATTCATATTT